GCGTACGTGGGTTACTAGGTTATAGAGTGTATTCTAAAGCTTTATAAATTTTGTACATAATAATAATAAAATAGGTAGTCAAAGATCGCGAAGACTGTCTGATCTATCAAATGATGATAAAATTATAGTTACAGATAGAACTAGGTAGGTTCTACGCCTGTTGAAGAAATATGATTATGAACGAAATTAAATCTCGGTTTTTGACTATTCGCCGATTCTCGACTTTGGCACGCTCTAAATGGCTGAAAATAGATAGAGCTACTATACTAGGTAGCTCTTCATATCTAGCTTCTGATGACCTGTAGAGAAGAAAATCCAGATGACTTTTGTATTAATTGATAGATTGTTTAGGCAGAGTATTCATGATGAAACTTTGTTGAATGGACGGCAACTGCCTGTTGTAGAAACACAAGTGTAGAGGGCGACGTTTCGAAAGTCTCCCGCCTTTCGCCTACAAGAACCTGTTTCTACAACAGACAGTTGCTGTCCATTCAACAAACTTTCATCGACTTTTGTATTGCTTTAATACGGGCGTCTATGCAATCCCTACATAGAGAATGTTAACCTAATCTCCTATTAATGTAGTCTTCTTCAGTTGTCACTGTTGTTATTTGACCTGCTCTTGGAATTAAAAAAAAAAGACTAGCTTACTGGTTCACCAGTTCTTCTGAATGATAAACAATGCTAATTGAAGTAAAAGCAATTAATAATATTTATAATAAATAATTTAGTGTTAAAATAGGTAAATATTTTGATATTCATAAAAAATCTTAAATCTAATTGTGATGTATAACTTTAAATATAATAGATTATAACAACTGAACCTAGTGGCGGCACAGCAGTAAGTCTGCAGACTTATATCGCTAGAAACCGGGTTTCGATACCCGCGATGTGTACAGCACAGATAACCCATTATGTAGCTTTATGCTTAACTACAAATAAACAAACATAACATAGTTCATAGCGAAACAGTTGTGGTTCAAGAAATTAAGCATATAAATAATGTCTCGACCACTACTATGTCATCTAACCTAAACACTCAATAAAACAAAGTATAGTTTATTTCAGACATTCTACTACTACTCATGGACCCTAAACCCTTATCCGAGAACAATATATTCGAATTTAGTTGTACCCCTGTAGCAAAGTTTCTTATTGTTCATCGTTTACGTAATTCTTGACCGTGCTCTATGTTAACACGTAATTCATACCTCGGGGTGGCAAAATGTCCTGATTTATTACCGATTTCTGCGGAACTTGAACACTGAAATAGGGCATTTAGTACTAAAATAAAACAGCTAAAAGTACTTTCAAGGGTGTTTTTAATTTTTTTTAGAACTCGAAATTTTATGATCGTTTGAAAATTCCTATTTCGGCTACATTTTCCGGAAAAGGGCACCCTTTTCCAGGCCGTTTTTCTATTTATTATCTTGTTCTTTTGGATTTTCCTTATATTTTTTTTCATGTTGTTGTCTTTTGGATAAATACTTATGTTGATCTTAGAATACGTACAGAATTCATGATGAAACACCTCCTAGGGCTCCTTCAGCTGTTTGCTTTTCCTTCTTCTGTTTATTTGGCTGATTTTTATTTTCTTCTCATCAGGAAACTCTTCGATGGGGTTCGCCTCCTTTATCATCTCATATCTTTTCAGAACCACTGTATAGAATGTCTTTGGTGCAATGTTTTCATTTGCATTAAGAATATCAGTGGTGATGTTTGGAAGATCCATTAGGTTATGAGAGAATCAATGCAAAAAAAAAAAAGTTTAGCCAATTATCTTTTTTTTTCGGCTTAAATAACCTCGTGGAACTGAGAACAAATTTGTACCCCGGATGTATGCATTACGTGTTAATATTCAAGGTTTGTTTGTTTTTGAATTTTGCGCAAAGCTACACAAGTGCTATCTGCGCTAGCCGTCCCTAATTTAGTAGTGTAAGACTAGAGGGAAGGCAACTAGTCATCACCACCTACCGCCAACTCTTGGGCTACTCTTTTACCAACGACCGTAAAATTATAACGCCCCCACGGCTGAAAGGGCGAGTATGTTTGGTGTGACGGGGATTCGAAACCGCGACCCTCAGATTGCGAGTCGAGCGCCTTATCCAACTGGCCATGCCGGGCCTAGTATTCAAGGACAACTTTCTTTACAAAAATCAACAGTAATTTGATTTTTAAAAAAACATCAACCCTACTTTTCCCACTCCACTCTCCCTACTAGACTATAACACATTATCCAAATTAAGATTTCCAAATAAATGTAGCATAGCACTTCTTTACAAGAAATATATTAACACTTCTCTCTCTCACATCTAATATCACACTAACTAAAGAACATTTTATTTAGCGTTATACTATGTGACCAGGCCAGGTGGTTAGGGCACTCGACTCGCAATCTGAAGGTCGCGGGTTCGAATCCCCGTCCCACCAAACATGCTCGCCCTTTCAGCCGTGGGGGCGTTATAATGTGACGGTCAATCCCACTATTCGTTGGTAA